ACCCAATCCAAAAATGGGCAGAAGACCTAAATAGACATTTCTCCAGAAAGATACAGACTGCCAACAAACACATGAAAGAATGCTCAACATCACTAATCATTAGAGAAATGCAAATCAAAACTACAATGAGGTATCACCTCACACCCGTCAGAATGGCCATCATCAAAAAATCTACAAACAATAAATGCTGGAGAAGGTGTGGAGAAAAGGGAACCCTCTTGCACTGTTGGTGGGAATGTAAATTGATACAGTCACTATGGAGAACAGTATGGAGTTTCCTTTAAAAACTAAATATAGAACTACCATACGACCCAGCAATCCCACTACTGGGCATATACCCTGAGAAAACCATAATTCAAAAAGTCATGTACCACAATGTTCATTGCAGCACTATTTACAATAGCCAGGACATGGAAGTAACCTAAGTGTCCATCAACAGATGAATGGACAAAGAAGATGTGGCACATATATACAATGGAGTATTACTCAGCCATAAAAAGAAACAAAAGTGAGCTATTTGTAGTGAGGTGGATGGACCTAGAGTCTGTCATACAGAGTGAAGTAAGTCAGAAAGAGAGAAACAAATACCGTATGCTAACATATATATATGGAGTCTAAAATGGTTGTGAAGCACCTAGGGGCAGGACAGGAATAAAGACGCAGACACAGAGAATGGACCTGAGGACACGGCGGACAGGAAGGGTAAACCGGGACGAAGTTGAGAGAGTAGCATGGACATATATACACTACCAAATGTAAAACAGATAGCTAGCGGAAAGCAGCCGCATAGCACAGGGAGATCAGCTCGGTGCTTTGTCTCCACCTAGAGGGGTGGGATATGGAGGGTGGGAGGGAGATGCAAGAGGGAGGGGATATGGGGATAGAGGTATACGTATAGCTGATTCAGTTTGTTCTACAGCAGAAGCTAACACAACCATGTAAAGCAATTATACTCCAATAAAAATGTTAAAAAAAATACTCTGACATAAGGGGATTTATTAACACCAGGCGCTATTATTACAGTGCATTTGCTATTGCTGCTTATAAATTAAATGGAGACACCAGGCAGAACTCATCAAGACCAATTTTAAAAACCTTCTTAGTTAAGAACAGTTTAATAGTGCACAGCCTGATGGTAGGGAATGAAATCCAGATTACGATTTCCTTTCCCTTTTACATAATATTGTTGGATTTAATTCATTTAAGAAATAGTTACAGAACATTTTCTGTGTGCGTGACCCCGTAGGGACACAAAGATGAATAAAAACAAGTCCAGGCTTGGAGGTAGAGTCAGTCCACACCAATCCTCGGTACAATTTACTGATGGTCACAGAGCAAATTTATTTTCCAAAGGTGACCACTACAGTACCTCTCATCCGACAAGTCCTTCCTGAACCTTCCATTCATCCATCAGGAGGTGGAATATGATACCCCTCTTTGTGAGTCTGTGTGTGTGTGGGTGGAAGTGGAGGGATTGGGGGAGGGAAGGGCACTCGGTGAGAAGGGCACAGCCGAGGGCGGGCTGGGAATGAAAAATCCACAATATGGGATGTATGAAATAGTACTGTGTGAGATTAGGACTCAGGTGAGGTGGGTCTATATTTGTGCTGTCCTATATGATAGCCTCGAGTCACATGCGGCTACTTAAATGTAAGTGAATTAAAATTCAATAGAATTAAAACCTCAGCCACACTAGCCCTGTTCCAAGTGCTGGGAGGGCTCCCATATTGGACAAGGTGGATACAGAGCATTTACATCAGTGCTGGGCTCTGACGTACGTCTCCTTGTCGCCCAGGCAGCAGTGTCCCACTGCGGGCTTCTGAGACAGTGGGACCTGGTGCTGTGTCTGGGGAATCAACCAGAGAGCAGGTTAGTTAGGTGGACAGAGGATACGTTTGTCACCAGCCGCCAGTGAGGAGTAGCATTGGAGAACAAAAAGTCTGCGGATTTCAAGACAGCCCAGGCTGGGGAAAACAGACGGGCCAGAGTCACCAGATAGCTGGTGATTTACTTATCAGTTCCATAGAGTATGAAAACGGTGCCGTTACGGTACAGGGCTCGCTGGAGACTTGCAAAAACCAAAGGCAGCTTTAGGTGGTTTGGAAGAAAAATCAAAGGACTGGAAAGTGAAGGAGCAGGGGTGGAAAGGAAGAGGTGGCCAGGAGAGGGGACAGCAAGTGCCCCCCTCATCACACCCCCAGGGTGGGGCTGGCGACCATGGTACCCACTGGCAGATGGGTGGTCACTGTCGTGAGAGGGGAGAATATCTCTCAGTCAGTGGCGGGACGGCAAGTAAACAATCAATTACCCTAACAACTGCTTCTCTGTATCGGACTGAAAAGAAATGGTAGGAGCAGCTACAGAGACACTCACAAATAAGAACAGGAAAAGTCATTAGTGTTTGAAATAAAAACCAACAGTTTCAGATACAGAGAATGGGCTTTCCAGAGGGCTTGCAGGGATCCAGATGAGATTTCCTGCCATTTCTTTTCCTGGTACCCACCACTCTTACTGTCCTGAATTCCATCACTGATTTTTTTTTTTTTTTTTTTTTTCGGGTCCGCGGCCTCTCACTGTTGTGGCCTCTCCCGTTGCGGAGCACAGGCTCCGGACGTGCAGGCTCAGCGGCCATGGCTCACGGGCCCAGCCGCTCCGCGGCATGTGGGATCTTCCCGGACCGGGGCACGAACCCACGTCCCCTGCATCAGCAGGCGGACTCTCAACCACTGCGCCACCAGGGAAGCCCCATCACTGATCGTTTAAGCTGATGATCACAGGGCTCTGTATTCTGAGGCTTAAACACAAGTTGACAAGAGACTTTCAGCTGGCTGCGTTCCGCACCAGCATCTCTCCCCACCCCTCAGCGGGACTGAACATTTTCCCCACCTTGGCTGCTTCAGAGAGACCTACGAAAGGCAGGATGTCCTTATGCGTTGCCACAGACTCTGCTGTCCCCTTCTCATCCTAGCACAGCTGACCAAAGCCCCGACATGCAACGGAGTGCTACACTGGGGGAAAGAATGGATCACAACATCATCAATTCTTTGTGAGACTGAATAAGGAAACACTCCAGTAGCCCAGACTTATAAGTAACCCATGTAAACCGACAATTCAGACCTCGGTGTACGGTGCCGAGCAGGTAGCTGAATCTTGGCAGGGAGGAGGCTAAATAAGAAAATACCAAACTTGCGTTGCACAGGCGTTAGGATGTCTCCCCTCAGTAAAAGCATCTCACAAAGATTTCTCCATTCCCCTTTCTACTGGGGAAGCTTAACACCCCCTCCAGCTCAAAGGGAATGTGTTTTGCTTATCAACTTCTCCCCCCCCCCCCCCACCCCCAAAAAAACTGGTTCCTAACTTATCTGAGAATAGGAGACAAAAAGAAATCTTTTGTGTTACAGAGCACGTTTAAAATATCTTGCACTTTCTTGCATAGTTAAAAGTACGCAAGATTGCCACACTTCTTATTCACAAGCGTTTGCACTTTCCAGAAGTGCGATTTTTAAGAGCTCCACAAAGGTTCCCCCAAATTGTTTTCTCCTTAAAAAGCATAAAGACAAGCCAGCGCTGGTGATTTTCTTTTCCTTCTGACTCTGTAAATACGCACGGCATCTCTTTAGACAAATGCCAAAGAGGACTCTTGTTTACGTGCATATTTCAAGACAGCTTCACTCGTACAGCAAAAAGCCCACCTGTCTTAAAAGATGAGGAATCTGTGGGACACACAAGGGGCCTTCCCCACCTCCTGGTGGTCTCCCAGCACTGGCTTACCTTGGGGTGCTCTGGTTTGGTTGGATTTCCCCAGGACCCGTAAATGTGAGGTCCTGGGGATGGGATACCTGTTAGCATGGGTCAGGTGGGGACAGGGTTTCCGTGCAGGGCAGTCAGAGAAGAATCCCACCAGCGCAGGCCAGCATGATGCTTACTTCGTTCTAGGTGCTTTAGGTCTATTAACTCGTATTCTCCCCACAAGGCTGTGAAGTAGGCCTTATTCCTTTGCCCCCATTTTACAGAAGAGCAGAGAGGCCTTGAGGTCACCAGCATCGAGGGTGGAGGCGAGGTGTGAGCCCAGGCAGGCTGGTGGCCCAGGCTGTGTTTTCATCACGACGCCCTACCACCTGCCCCAGAAGGACGTGCATCTTCCGTGCACATAAACCATCTAACCACACAGATCTCCTAACTTAACGTTGGCCTCTGTGAGACGTGAAGGGCGCATTGTAAAGTGGCAGAGCAGCAGAAAAGGTAGACACGTTACAGAAGATGGATTACGGCTTGGACACAACAGCCCAGGTATGGCTAGTAAATTAGGGCAGATGAGATCTGCAACGGAAGACGACCCCAGCTGGAGACAGGCTGGCCCGCCCCACCTCCTCCTCTGGCTGTTCTCAGGCCCTCCCCCGACAAATCATTAACAACTCTTGAAAGTTACTCAGTTACCCATCACTCCTCCCTTCCCACCACTCCTGAAAACATCACTGCCCTCGCTCCATCACTGTTTGCTTGAGGAGATTCATGACTGACTAGTCTAAACAGTCAAGACAAAGTGCAGAAATCATCTTCTACAAGTTTAATGATGCACAGAAAAAATGGTACGCTCTCCTGTGTTGAGCTGTGACGCATGTACACTTGTACATGACATGTATATTTCGAAGGCGCCCAGAAGGGAGCCATGCCCCCCAGGGGTAATCTCATCCAATGACAGGCTCCTGAGACAACCTCTCTGAGGGCAACTGCTGAGAGTGGCTGGTGATATCTCACTTTCCTTCACAACTGGTGAAACCTAGACTAGTACCTGACTGCAAATTTGCCATCGGTCAGGCTTGGTCCAGAGCCTGGAAGCCCCCGTGCTGAGTGGATAACTGGGTGGGTGGAGGGAGCTTGCTAGGGCTGCCCCACAGGAGGGCAAAGCATGAAGCCTGGACTTTTCATAGACAAAGGTCAAGGAGCATCCTGAACATGAATCCTAGGAAAGCAAGGCAGCAACGATTTTAGGATCTTACTTGTAGTTTTTCTCCCAGAATTTCACTGGCCTGACATACGATGTGATAAAAATGACACTCCCGAGAAACGGGCTCAGTGGAGTAGAAAAGATCGACGTGGCAAACGCCTGAAAGAAAAGCATGGCAGAATCTGAGGATTTTGAGTTAAGGAAAAAAAAGAAGTGGTCATGATTATTCTTCCACATAGTATTTGCGATTTTGACTAGTTTATATGAAAGCCATTTTCTCACCAAGGAAAGAAAGAAGGGCCTACCCGTGATCTCTCTATGTACATATTTCGAAATATAAAACTTTCAATAATATCCTGCTAGGTCTCATTTCACCACCATGAAAACCAAATGATTCTCATAAAAATCCCAGCAGTCTCAGCATGATTTGTGGCAAAGATTTAATATCTAAGATTTGAAAAGAACAGTTTCTTTTTACTGAGATATTGTTAGCTGAACCAAACACACTGTGGTACATTTACTAAAGTATCAAGCAGCTTTATAAATAATAAAAATTAAGTTACACTTTGAAAGTAAATAAATAGCATTGTTTGGGAAGATAGCATCTCTATTCCTCAAAGAATCTTTTCCCACTGTTCAAAAATATGTATTTTTTTTATCATACACTGAACACTAATGGCTCGATTTAACTCATGTCTGGTTTATAAGCTAAAAATGTGTACTCAAGTCACAGCATGCCGTAGGCTAAGCCACCACCCTAGCACTCTGTATGGGTTTCCCACTTCTTGGCATGCCTCAGTTTTACACACTCTGATCAGAAATGTAATTGTTCAATATTAAAATTAGTATGGCTCTCACTTTGGGCTTAAGCCCAACTAATTGATCTCTGGAAATCTGGGGGAGGTGCCAGAAGGGCTGGTCCCTCCCCAGGCTCACTCCATCATTGGAGAACTTCTCCCAGCTGTCAATCACGGGGCCTTTGATTTGTTAAAGCCAGAGGTGGCAGAGGTCAGTGGGGGGCCAGACAGCCCAGGTTTTACATATGCATATGGTTCCTTGTCCTTCAGGGTGAGGGCTGGGAGGGTTCTACTGCAGGTCTGACCTGATCTCCTACAAGGCTGATTTTCCCACCTGGAAGGGGACGTGGCTGCACAAATGGAGGTCTTATTTTTTAGCCCATGTTTAAAAAGTTCTGGCAGAAAGTAAGAAATGCCTAAATGTCTGTCACAGATAGAAAGATTCTGTGTTTCATTACCTACCAGAGCATGGAAGGGCTTTCCCATATTATCAGTGGCAGGGCTTAGTTATGTGATAGGGACCCTCACAGCCCCACTTACATGTAAACACAAAGAAGGGAGTGAGACTTGCTTGTCTACAGGCACTTCCCAGTGCATTTGCATAGATTTAAGCTCAGAGTTTTCCTTCAGGGGTAGCTGTGTCATTTTTTTTTCCATTTGCTATTTATTTCCAAACATCTTCAGAAGTGAAATAACACATCCTCCATTAATAGTGTTGAACTGTCTGGGTATCAAAAAGATCTCGATTGTGCTACAATTTCAATCCGACTCCTTTTACTTTGACCTGGGTTCAAATGCAGAACTCCAGAATAAGGAGCTACTGTGACATCTATCATGACCCAACAGTTTCTTCTTCATCGGGAAGCTGGAAAGATCTAAATACCTCTGCCACAGAACATACCAATGTAACTATTCCCCTTGTCACAGGAAGAAAAAAAGAACTTCATGGGCGATGCCATCAAAGGAAGGTACTGAAAACACCTGAGAAAGCAGAGCGGGGGTCACAGGGGAGATTCCTGAGGAGGGTGTTGGGTGAGGGGAAGGTGACAGGGGGCACTGTGGGGTTTGCAGAAGATCCAGGACAAAGTTAAGTGGAACTGGGGCTGGGTAGGAGGCTGCGTGGGCCGGCACTGCCATTCTTTTGGGTTCTAAACGTTTCCCCAAAGATTATGTTATCCGTTTTTTAAATGCCAGAAACAGTTATCCAGAAATTAAGAAACAAGGAAAATACTGCTAGCCTGTAAGTAAAGTTCAAATTTGGGAGGAAAGGAAATGAAGCTTAACAGGTCAGAGGTAGGGCAGAAGTGAATAGATGGCCTCAAAGGTTAGTTTATTTAGGGGAGATCAGAAAAGGAATATAGCGCTCTTGGGGAAATACGCAAGATCGTGACTGTAATGGCTAAGGCAGTCCCGAGAAAAATGCAGCCTTCTTTATTTTTTGAGAGCCAAGAGGTGGGCCAAAGGGCTAGATGGAGACTCCTTTAAAAGCTTCAGGTTCATCTGAGAACATTTAAAATGAAAATATCAACGTTAATACTTAAAAAAAATAACTGGAAGCTCGAAAGGATATACCAAATAGAGAGTGGCCTTTCCAATACACACATTTAACAGAGCTAATACAGCTAAGTCTGTCTAATTATTAGAAAACAATGGTGTTGCATGGTCTCTACACATATTAAAAGGGTAAGCATGCCTATCTTTCCCTGGAGGTTACAAGCTCAGAAACTGACAGAGGCTACCGAGGTAGAAAACATGCTAGGACTGGAAAAAGCAATTTAACAATCAGGGCCCCGCTGGTCTGAAAGTTAATTCAATTCCAAAATGGAGCAAATTAGCCCCTTCTCAAAGCCAGGATGGAACCCACAGCTTCTTAATAGTGATAAACTCGTTAACATTTCGAAATTAGTCAAGATCCAGGGCTGGCATTTAGGAACTTGATGGCCTTGTCTTGATGGCATATATATCTGGTTTCTTTTTTTTTTTTTTTGCGGTACGCGGGCCTCTCAGTGTTGTGGCCTCTCCCGTTACGGAGCACAGGCTCCGGACGCGCAGGCTCAGCGGCCATGGCTCACGGGCCCAGCCGCTCCGCGGCATGCGGGATCCTCCCAGACCGGGGCACGAACCCGTGTCCCCTGCATCGGCAGGCGGACTCTCAACCACTGCGCCACCAGGGAAGCCCCTATATCTGGTTTCATAAACGAACTCATTACATTCTGCACGGTATGATGTTGGGCTCCACATAGCAAATAGCTACCTTCACAACTGATCCAGGATGGGGAAGTGTCTCTGGGTGATGGGGTAGGGGCGCTGGAAACCCTGGAAGCCATCACACAACTGTAGTGGTCAGGCTCCACGGCCACCTCAAAGGGTCTATAACTTAGCAGAGGCAGGAGGTGGGTTTCACTGACGGGAACAGTTTTAGGCACAAAGCACTGGGATCAACTGTATTCTAAAACTAAATGCCCAATAAAATCTGCATCTCAGATGTGTTCAATTTCTCACGAGAACCAGTCCATCCATCGCGAAAGTGCTTAGATTTAACGCCCGCTGTGTTCAGTCTGAGATGGACCCCAGTGCTGCCTTTATCCTTAGAGGAGATATTAAGCGCCAGATGCCATGTGCTTGTGTGTGACCCCTCGACACACATAAAGGTCAGGTAATTGAAAGTTACAGCTTCCAGAACAGTTTTAATTCGGCTACGGAACTACAGGAGTAATTAGTATTACCGGACTCATCCAACAAGGCATAAAGGGGCCACAAGAAATGCTACAGATCTATGTGAGACCAAAGTTAGAATAAAATTGGGAATCACCACTTCAAGTCTTAAGTTCTTAGTGCAACTCCTCAACTGCAAATTTACACCCATCTCATCATTTTCATCTAATAAACAGGCTTTAAATTCTAGACAGGATACCCGAGACACACACCAGAAATAAATAAAAATCCCCTCACTCTTTCATCTCGCTCTGTTTTAAGGGATTCCGTTTAGAAAACCTAAAATGACTGGCATTCTAGAAAACGTTATAGGAAAGGGGTGATACTCAAGCTCACGCTTTTGTGATCATTTTTCCTGAGCCTGTTCCTCCAAATAACCGTGAAACACTTTACAAATATCAGTGCAGGTCTAAGAATAGGAACACGGAACAATGTGCCTTGTGAGGACAGCTCTGGGTATGCTTAATAATTAAAAAAAAATAAGTTGGAAGGACAGCATTTTTTAAAAATCTAGAATATATTATCACAATGAATATCCCATGTCTGTTTCTATCCCTGTACCCAAAGTTGAGACCCAGGGGTTCCTTAAGAACTGTCTTCAGGAGCCTTATGCAACCTTCAGGAAAGAAAGCTCTGTTTGGCCATTAAAACCGGCTCACAGCACCCCCAGTGGATGCCAGCAGAGAACTGCACTTCACACACATCAGTGGATGAGAATCCCAGAAAGGTTTGTGAAGATGGAGATTCCAGGGTCCTCCCCGCGAAATGTGATTTTTTAAAAATGTATGTGCTGACCCCAGGAATCTACTTTTTTAAACAAGCTCCTCCAGGGATTCTGATCTAAGGAGTCCGTGAACCACATCTCGGGATATACAAATTCAGAAAGTATAAACTCACTGGGGGGATCTCCCTGGTGGCGCAGTGGTTAAGAATCCGCCTGCCAATGCAGGGCACACAGGTTCAAGCCCTGGTCCGGGAAGATCCCACATGCCGCGGAGCAACTAAGCCCGTGCACCACAACTACTGAGCCTGTGCTCTAGAGCCTGCGAGCCACAGCTACTGAGCCCACGTGCCACAACTACTGAAGCCTGCGTGCCTAGAGCCCGTGCTCCACAACAAGAGAAGCCACCGCGATGAGAAGCCCGCGCACCGCAATGAAGAATAGCTCCCGCTCGCCACAACTAGAGAAAGCCCGCGCACAGCAACGAAGACCCAATGCGGCCAAAAAGTGAAAAAGAAAAAAAAAGAATATTTCTGTTTAATCTCTCTCTCTTCAAAAGTATTCTTGATTTTTCTCTTTCTCCCTCTCTCCAAACACATCACGCAGATACACACGCACACACAATTTAGCTATCTGTGTCAAAGTGATCTTTAGAAAGAGCATGTCAAGTTGTTTTGAAGTAAATTAAAACTAATTATCATTATGGAAACACTTAAAAATAGACAAAGAAACCAAACAAAACTACAAATGATAAAATTAGGCTCCTTGGCTAATGATAACAAAACCATAAATTTTTTTATTTTTGGTCTTCAAAAATATCTGGGTAATTCTGTTTGTGCCCAATTCTGGGTTTTTTAACATTCCTCAAGTATAAGATAACCAAACTATATTATAATATAATGTTATATAATCGATAATAATATATCAATCCTATCCACAAAGTTTGATAACAGCAAATCAGTTTGCACTATTTTGCACAAGTCAACCAAATCATTTAAGCGGTGACTTTCCATTTAAAAGACACAATATCTTAACGGAGATCTGGTCATTGGAAATGGAAAAATCAGAAGAACTCAAGCCATGCCTGAATACGCATTAAGAAACAGGAAGAGTTCCGAATTAAGAAATTTCTTTTAAGGCTAAGTACCTAAAGGGAAACCACAGTGCCTCCCCAGGTCCCCATTAAGGTGTAATCTTAAAGACTTTAAAACCCTTTTACTGCCAGAGTTCAATGAAAAGCTTGCATCGGTAAAATGTGAATCTCAGCTCTGAGGTGAAAACAGAAGCAGAAAGGATACGAGGAATTGCAAAGAGCTGAGCAAACACGTGAAATGAGGAACCCCAAGCCATCTGCCAGGGAGCCATGTAGGTCATGACGAACTGTAGCTTGTGAAGCAGGTCCCCGAGCTGAAAGCAAAAGAAGAGACAGAGATTCATCAGTGATGACAACCACAGTGACAGCTGGGTCACAGTCAAAGTGCCTGCATTAAAGTTAGGAAGGGGCAATGAGACTACTGCTTGTCCTCTTACTCGTACCTTCCTTCGTCCCATAAGCAAGGCAGCTGTTTAAGGATATTTTCAAACAGCAACAAGATGATCAGAAGTAAGGTTGTGTGGTTAATTTCACCAGGTTAATGATTTCAGCCCATAAATATGGCGTTTCTTAGAGGAACACTCACAGCTTGGTCCTTCCTTCTTCATCCTGGGTCTTTCAGAAGGAGATTCATACAAAACCCCATCGCGATGGACATCGTTCAAGTTTTTGTGTATGGATTTCAGTCTTCCTCTTCAGCCACTCTTGCTGGAGAAAATCGCCCCATACCGCTTTGTAACATTGCAAGTTACAAAGCGCTTTAGAAGCCAAGATAGGATATGCACCGTTGCATTTGCTAGACAAGCCTGCACAGGAGAAAGCTGAGTTCTGGAGAGAAGTAGTGCATGGAGAGAAGAGACCTTATGTGGCCTAAGGATGGACATGAGGGGAAACATGCTCAGTGGTTTGCGCTGGAGATCCAGACTATGAATGTGCCAAGGAGGATGGAGAGGGTCCCCGGCTGTAGACCCCTGCTTTGTGGAGAGAAGTGACTGATGGACCCCAGATGTGAAATTCTACAGCTGTCACTGCTAGACGCAGTCAGGAAGTATCCTACCAACAAGCTTTCGGAACTTGACATTCACTCTTCATCCATAATGGAGACTTCATTTTTTTTTTTATTGAAACATAGTTGTTTTACAAAGTTGTGTTAGTTTCAGGTGTACAGTTTAAAGTGATTCAGTTATACATATACATATATCCACTCTTTTTCAGATTCTTTTCCTGTATAGGTTATTATAAAATATTGAGTAGAGTTCCCTGTGCTACACATTAGGTCCTTATTAGTTATCTATTTTATATATAGTAGTGTGTATATGTTAATCCCAATCTCCTATCTGTTATCCCTCCACCTCCTTTAGTAAACACAAGTTTGTTTTCTATATCTGTGAGTCTGTTTCTGTTTTGTAAATAAGTTCATTTGTATCATTTTTTTTTTTTAGATTCCACATATAAGTGATACCATATAATATTTGTCCTTCTCTGTCTGACTTACTTCACTTAGCATGATAATCTCTAGGTCCATCCATGTTGCTGCAAATGGCATTATTTCATTCTTTTTTATGGCTGAGTAATATTTCATAATAACGGAAACTTCAAATGGCATGATGTGTTTGTTCCTAGACGGGTTAGCATACGAGACAGTGAAATACATTCACCAGAGCCACGATGTGAAAAGAGAAAAAGATAGAATTCTTAATTAGGCTCAGTAGGTGTTACACAGAACATCAGAAGACCACAATGAAAAAAGACAAAGGCTGGAAAACGGGACCATTGAGGAACGGTTCAAGGAACCAAGGTAACTTAGCCTTTCAGTGAAAGGTCAATCTTGTAATTTTGGAACAAAAGGTGAGGTTATCCTGAACTGTTTCATGAAAGTGTCATGAGGGAAAAATGAGGTTGATCAGAATCCTCTCCAAGTCTTCCTCTCACTATTCTTGTCTCACCACATTCTCATCAATATCCTGGGTTTGGAGAATAACTTTAAACATCCTTGGACTGGCTACAGAAGATGAACCAAGGATAAATGTTCTCTCAAAGGCACAGCAAACTTGGAGTTCTTTTTTTTTTTTTTTTTTTTTAAACTTGGAGTTCTTAAGAAGTGACTGGCATCTGGTTGTGTATAGAAGCCTGGGGTCTAGATGTGTCCACTGGGGACCCTAGTCCCAAACCTAGCAGGGAAGAATCGGAGGCAGAGAGAAGGGAAGGGAAGGGGGACAGAGAAAAAGAGAAAGAGGAGAGAGCGAGAGGGAGAGGAAAGAAATAGAGACAGTAGGGAGGATGAGGGAGTATAAAAAAAAAAAAGAGGGGGTGAAATGGAGGAAGATGATGTGATCGGACCAGAAGAACTGTGAAGGAATGTGAATTCTGGGAAAGAAAAACAAATGGTTTTTTCCTAGTACCTTTTCACTTTCTTCCCTCTATCTCACTGACACCCACCAGAGACCTGATTTCAACTGGCTTCTGAGTTCTTTCAAAAAGGCCACTTCAGTTTTAATCCTGCGGTTGGTTTAAGCTTCTTGAACCCTGGATCTGGATGGGACTCCACAGATGCCAGTGCTTTTGGGATGCTGACAGTTGAGAGAAGAGCAGTTTACTCTCTTATGTCAGCTTGAGGCTGTATCTCTTAGGTTCACATAAAGATTAGTCCTCTCCCAAACCGTGGTTTGAAAGGATACAGGTACCCCAATGTTCATAGCAGCACTGTTTACAACAGCCAAGACATGGAAGCAACCTAAATGTCCATGGACAGATGAATGGATAAAGGTGTGGTGTGTGTATATATATATATATATATATATATATATATGTAAAAAATATTACTCAGCCATAAAAAAGAGTGAAATAATGTCATTTGCAGCAACATGGATGGACCTAGAGATGTTCATACTACGTGAAGTAGGTCAGACAGGGAAACAAATATCATATAATATCTCTTATATGTAGAATTTTAAAAAATGATACAAATGAACTTATTTACAAAACAGAAACAGGCTCACAGACTTAGAAAACAAACTTATGGTTACCAAAGGGGAAAGTTGAGGGGGAGGGATAAATTGGGAGTTTGGGACTGACATATACACACCACTATATATGAAATAGATAACCAACAAAGACCTACTGTAGAGCACAGGGAACTCTGCCCAATATTCTGTAATAACCTAAATGGGAAAAGAATCTGAAAAAGAATAGATACATGTATCTGTATAACTGAATAATTTTGCTGTACACCTGAAACTAACACAACATTGTTAATCAACTCTACTCCAATATAAAATAAAAATTTAGAAAATTCACTCCCTACCACCTTATTTCCCACCAGTCCATAGGTGACTTGGGCAGACAGGCCTAACACAGACTCAAACTCTTTTTTTTTTTTTTTTTTTTGCGGTACGTGGGCCTCTCACTGTTGTGGCCTCTCCCGCTGTGGAGCACAGGCTCCGGACGCGCAGGCTCAGCGGCCATGGCTCACGGGCCCAGCTGTTCCGAGGCATGTGGGATCTTCCCGGACCGGGGCATGAACCCGCGTCCCCTGCATCGGCAGGCGGACTCTCAACCACTGTGCCACCAGGGAAGCCCTGGACTCAAACTCTTGACTCACTTCTCTTAAAAGATATGATTTCCTTTAAAGGCCAATATCATTTCCATTCATTCCCACCATTAATTCAACCAGAGGAGCAGCAAGCTAATTACAAAACAGAAGACGTTCAAACACGTGACTCTAGATTCCATGGAAAGCAGAAGTCCTGAGAAGTGGGGGTGGACTCTTTTGTATTAACTTGCTCCTTTATGCCCTAACCCAACTCTATCAGGCAAATGCCTCTGGATTTGAAATATTCTAGTCACAACACTGCTAAGAATTCTTAGTCTGCTTATTAAGAATTAGTCCTGTGACTCATGCCTAGGTGAAAATTGCCAAGCATAAGCAAGATGATCTTATGTGATTTATGACCCCCTAGTTGCCCTGAAAATGAATCACGGGTTTTGGAAAGTTACTCCTGTTGGGTTTTCAGGGTATGACTATATCCTGGGAGGCTTTTAAGCCACCTCCTGGAAAAGCTGATAAGTCGGTCCAGGCATTGCAACTACAGTCAGATAGGCAGCCCCAGGGAAAGCCTCGTCTGAAAGTTTAAAGCACTAACAAGTTAAACTTTGCTGCATTATGAGTAAATGAACATATTACCATTATTTTTTGCTTAGCACAGCGACTTGTATTTACACATAAGCAAAACCAGTAATCAGACACATGTGCTCTCATGCTCTAATTGCAGCCAAGGCCCCAAGTATCTTTGCTCTTTTCCTATGTCTCTCTTGGCCTCGTTTTTTGTTTGTTTATGAACATTGTGAAGAATAAGACACAAGCTTTGTAAAAGATGTTCAATATGTAGCTCATCAAATAGACTGTGCTGTTCTTAATCACTGAAGCCAGATCTCCCAAATGCTAGTTCTTTACATACCAATGATTCCTCCACAACTCAGTAATTTAATGATCCTCCAGGAAGCCCACCAGAAAAAGGATGTGCTGGGGATGTGCCAGATGTCAACACAGCACAGAGCATGGGTCTGAGGGCACACTGCCTGGGTTTCAATCCCAGCTGGCACCTTTCACGGAGCTGATAATAGATCCTCCCGACACTGTCATTTTGAGGATTAAGTGACTTCATCTTTGTCAAGTGCGGAGTTTAATAAATACATGTTAGGGCAGGTGGATATCTTATTTTGAGGATGTATTTGCTCGCAATCAGGAAATTCTAGGGCCCCTCCTCTAAGCAACTGAAACTTAACTAAATCCAGGACCTCTTATTTTTCAGAGGAGGAAACCAGACTCAGAGAGGCTAAGTGGGCTGCTTAGGGCACACCGTGAGTCACTGGCCCCTAAATCCAGAGGTTGAAATTCCTGGTTCTCTGCCTGGTGATAGACATTTCTACCTCCCAACCTTACCATGTCTCCTTGAGGCCAGGAGCCTTCCTGGAAGGACAGCAGCAGGAAGCAGCTGTGGAAAGGTCTCCTCTACCTATACCTTCCTGCTGACAGCAACGGGGCAGGGTCACAAGTGAGAAGGTGACAAATCGGAGCTGCCGGATTTGTCACTATCGGGGACCTCTTCTCCATGTACACAGTGATGGAGGGCTATGACCTGTCCCGGAATGCCCTTTTCAGTACAAACGCCCAACGAATGAAAGATGACACCACCCAACAAGCCCAGTGACATTCAAGTTGTCTCAACAAGGCAGGCTGCTGGGTTACCTGTGCTTCTTAAGAATGGATGGCTCCAAGAAGATTGACATGGCTGACCTATTTTATTCCTAAAAG